GTCATTGCATGTGTTTTGTGAGTCTGAAAAGAACTTTATACATTGGCATCAGACATATGGATTAATATTGGACTTATGGACTTGATCTGGACTGGGCTGGGATGTTTTCTCAATATTCAATTGCTCTTGTATATAAACCTATTCCTTATACACATATGAGTGTCTCTATGAGTTTGTTTCTCTAGTCTACCCGGACTAACACAACAGGTAATGCAACAGTTCTGAAGAGGTGGACAACAGCCTTTTGCTAAGAGACTAAGCTGAGAACCTATTTTTGGAGCAATAATTATCTACGTACCTGCATTTCCTCAGCTCTTGGGCCATGTGGTATCATCCACTGGGTGCCTCCAGGGGAAGAGATTGTACTGAAAACTCTAAATTTCCTTCTGGATTAAAAAAATATATATACCTTGGGAGATGTAGTTTTCTATCATTTCTTTTCTTTGGAGTAATAAACCTGGGAATGCCCAGGGGTGGTTGCCCTAACCCATTGCTTGTTCATGGAAATGGAGTATGAATCAATATACATTTAAGACTTGCTTAAAAGAAAGGGCCTTCTCAAATTGTCGGTGAGCATTTCTCTGAGAAGGATAGGCCACGCCTCCTTTGTTTTCTCCTACCATGTTTTGTGTATGAAATTTGGACTTGGATTTAAAAATTATAGATGTTCCACTTCTTAGCTGCTTTATTAGATGAGGAGAATGAGCTTCCCCTTTGAAGCTCATAGGAGAGAGGCGTTCTGAACAGACCTGGCAAATGGAAATATGGCCGATGACATCCCCGAGGGTTCTCTGTGGTAGCTGCACACTTTGTGAAGCTGGCCGTCAGCGATGCTCTTACGACTTATACTCAGCCCCGAATACCTTTACCCTTCATTAGTATATGCTACCCCTGACTTTACTAATGCCCGGATTTTTATAGATTTTCCTATAAAAGTGTCATAAATATCTATTGTTTTCCCTTACTCTCCGGGCAGAATGAGCATCACAGAGGACAAGGCACGGGGACCGGTGACATGGTGCATATCCACCGCGGCGCCAGTGCTGAGTCTGCATCTATGAGGCTCCACAATGGATATCAGACTGAAGCTCTCAGGATAGCTATGGCCATCCATGGGCTTCAGTTCTTTCTTGTCATTCCTTTGCCACAGGGTCCCTCTCCGAGGACAGAGGGGAAACGTGCATGGGCAGAATAGGAACTGTTTGCACTCACTTCCACCAGAGCTTTCTTGATGACTCGGCTGATGTCCCGCCTCCACTCAGGGATGTCTGGGTTGTAGTCGTCCAGGTTTGGAGAAAAGGAGAGTCGCAGGGACTGGAATTCCTCTGGGGACACAACAGCAGGGGAATTAGCACCACTGAAAATGTTCTTCCAAAAAGCTGATGTGGATTTGTATCATATACAAAGCCCTGCAAAAGGGTCTCTCCCATTTGTAGTCTTCTCAAGGTTTTTAGAACACCTTGCCTCCATTGTTTCAAGAGCCTCCTCTTTCCAGACCCAAACCCTTTGACTTTGAATCAGTCCTTTGTTCTACAGGAATGGGCCTATCTGAAAGTTAGTCCTTTGTTCTACAGGAATGGGCCTATATTCAAATCACTGCCGCAAATGGCTGGAAACAGGCAGTGGAACACATGGCCTTGATGCCGAGTCGGTGAGGGCTTCTCAGAACCCACCTTGGTCAATTATGCTTTCTGGAGTTGAACCTCAAAGACTAGTTGCTATTCTGCTAAGCCTCGCTCATGGTGCCCCACCCCCGCCCCCCGGTATGGCAAAGTAAACCTGTGTCCCCTAGAGTTTTCAATGGCTGAGTTTTCCGAAGTAGATTCACAGATGTTTCTTTCAAGACAACGAGGTTGAGCTGGGTCTCCACTCTTCATTACCTTCCTCCCTGTGTTCTCTCTGCCCAGGGACCCTGTCCTTCCCACACCCCTATCCGATGGTGCTCATTCCTATCCTGTGTAAGTCCGCCTCACAGCAGCCCACGGGGCTTCTTCTTCTGTTCATTCCATTCTCATCATTCGGTCTTTCCACAGAGAGGCCTTCTCAGTGACTAACCTCAGGTAGCTCCCCCTCCCTACCCCCCGCCAAGCATCTTTCATTATATGGCCTTCTGTAATTGTTTGTAATTATCTCTTGTGGTAGAATAAAATTTCTTAATATGGCTCTTCTACCCAAGTCTCTGTGACGCCCACCAAATGATTGAGACTATGCAAATAGGGCATGGCATGGGCCCAGGCGGTGTAGTGGTTCTCTGTGAGGCTGCTAACTGCAAGGGGAAGCAGTTCAACGCTCCCATAAAGAGGTAGTCTAGGAAACACAGAGCGGGAAGTGCTGTTCTCCCCTATCAAAAGAGTCACAGTGAGAGTGGAGTAATGCTCGCAGAGGGCATTGGTCAGTTTTCATGACGACGCCTTTGATTAGAAGGATGAGCCATCTCTGAAGTTGCAGCAGCAAATGGAAGTCCTAGGCCAGTGATTCTCAACCTTCCTAATGCCTTGACCCTTTAATACAGTTCCTCATATGGTGGTAACCCCCCCAACCATAAAATTATTTTCGTTGCTACTTCATCACTGTCATTTTGTCACTGTTATGAATCGGGCGACCCCTCTGAAAGGGTTGTTCAACCCCAAAAGGGGTAGTGACCCACAGGTTGAGAACCACTACCCTAGGTCCTTCGGAAGAGCATGGAACAGCGCATTTCTGATCTCTATCTGAAGGGGTGGAGACCAAGACCAGAGGACAAGAGATGGCCATGAATGCTCCAGGACAAAGCACGAGGAGCAGGGCCTAGTCTTGGGGCTATGGATCTGTGAGACAGAGCAACTGGCAGGTCTCCTGGTCCAGGAAGCCAGAGACCAAAGGACCACATGGCTAGGAGGCTGAAGACCAGAGAGAGACTTGGTTTTGGACTGAGGAGAGGTGTTGCTATGGACCCATGGTTGATTCTGACTTGTGGTGATCTTTTAACTTCCCCAATACAGCCCTAGAATTGTGAGTATGATCTATGAGTTCTTTGTAGCCATTGCAACAAGTGATCGCAGCCAGCAGAGAAGTAGTGTGCCGAGTGTCAGTGTAGTAGGGAAAGGGGGATGGAGATGTGGGCATGCCCGACCTCTGCCTCTTGGTAACAGGGAAGGCAGAGAAGGTCAGATATGCTGTTTATTGCATCTCCCAGTTTTTAATTACGTGATTTCTGCATTTGCCGGAAATATAACAAATGATAAGTCCTCATGGGCAGGGATGCTATAGTCCTGACACTTGAGGCAGCATGTAACACATAATAGACATTCACCGAATCTATGATGTACTTGATGAATGCATGTTTACTGAATAAATACCTGTATAAATTGCCTGGAGACTCTGGAACTCATGCCTGTACTTATTCCACAAATACATATTCTTTATTTTCAAACCCACAGTAGAAAGCATGTCCTTGTGTTTCGAAAGGGACTATGTGGCATCGGTGCTGCCCATTAGACATTCTGGACACAGAAAAGCCCACTTGTGCATTTCCTAACAATGCTGACGTGTTCCCAAACACGTGCTCTGAGGATTTTTATATCACACCGTTTTGTTTGAAGCAGTTGCCATATTCCAAGGAAGTATTTTTCAAAGCTTGACTATTCTATGAGTCACTGGCCTCCTATGTGAATATCACTGCTTCTGCTGTGATGGAGAATAACGAAATGCATATTAATAAGTACCCACAGTAAATGGAGCCAAGCACTGGGCTCTTACTGTGTGCTTTGCAGATGGGGGCTGTTGTCCTTATCATATTCCGCACAGGGCTTCATCCAATAGCTGAGACTCTGTTCTACAACTAAGGGAAGATGTCTGTCTCAGCAAAAAGACACAGATGGGGAGAATGATGCCACTCTCCCCATGATTACTCAGCATGTCCACAGCAAGGCAGCCGGGAGGATGGCAGAGGAACGCTGGACTGAGTTTCTTCAACACATCGGGAGGGCTGAAAAGGCTAAACATCAAGAAAATAGTTGTTTTCCTTTTTTGTTTTTGCAGCAGCTTAAAGAGATGAATGCTAACATCCACACTCTTTTTATTAAGTAGTTGAAGGCAAGTCTATGCCCCAGAGCAAATCAGGGAAGCGGAGAGTAAATTGTGTTCCCTGCCATCTTCTGTGCGGCTTTGGGTAGACAGCCCTTCCTCCGTCAACGTCACTATATACAATGTCCCGCATTCACATCCATCATTCAAGCATGGTCTCACAGGCCTGGAGAACCTGAATAGTATAAACAGTTAACACTTTCAGTGGCTAACCAAAAGCTCGGTGGTGGAGCTGCTCAAGAGGCATCTTGAAAGAAAGGCCTGGAAATAAAAAACTAACAAAAACCACCATTGGAAATGACCGGAGCCTATGGCACACAATTCTACTCTGATATACATGTCAGTGCCATGACTCAGAGTTGCCTCAAAGGCAACCGGTTTGGGTTTTAATCGCATACACGGAACTCCAGACAGCTCATCGGAAAGGGCACGTGGAGGATGGTGGGTGGTTGAGCAGTTTAGTTGGGGTGGGGCATCGGAGGTTTGACTTCTTAGGGAAGCTCTGAATGGCTTGACTTTCACATTCAGAAAGTAAGCAAAGGGTGAGAGCCTGTCAGAGGAAGGGGGAACGCATCCTTGAGTAGCCATTTAGAGATGGTAGGAGGGGGAAAGGTGATACGGAAAAGCCCCTCTGATCTAACATTCTTAAGATCTGTTTGTTTAATAGATTTACTTTGTACTTTCTCATCTGTAAAATAGGGATAATTATGGAATATTTCTCATCATGCTGTTTAGGGAATTTAATGAAACAGACCATATAGGAGACTTCAAAAACTCCATAGGAAATGAAATGAAAAGATAATGGAATTTTCCCACAAATGGTTTAAGGGCCTTAATATAAAATGCTTAGAAAAGGGCTGCTTTAATGTTCATAACTACCACCACTACCACCACCACCACCCTGATTATTCTTACATCTGCCCTTAAACAGCAGAATGATTGAAAGCCAGGAATTTATATGTCTGCACCACAGATTCACTTATATAAAATGGGGCTGGCACAGGTAAGTCTAAGGTTCCTCTGGAATTCTAATGAAGGCCATTGATAATATCCCTAATGAAGAGGAAGTCTATGGGGTCATGGGTCAGTGCTCATCCGTACTGCTGATGAGGTCGACGGGGATGGGAAGGAAAGAAGGCACCAGAAAGAGACAATTAAGCAGTAATTTCAGAGTCTGGGCTCTGGGGCTGGATGGCTGGGTTGGAAGCCCAGCTCCACAATGGGGTACGTTTTTGTTTTGTTTTATGTACACATGATGGGGATAGTTTCCAGTACTACATCCTTGGGATCATAGAGGATTAAGTGCATTTCTGGCACATGAAAGGGAGAGAAGGTGCAGTAAAAGCTCTCTCCCATTATACACAGTAACTGTGTGGGATCCTAGGTTGCCCCCAACCCCATTTACTTCCAAACACCACTTGGTGCCAGAAAGCCTCTCTGGGAGGGAGAAGGAACATATTGTGAATCTAACACCCAATCGTGGGAGAATTGTGTTAAGGCCATTGAATACTCACCCACATCCCTCTTTGCTTACTTTCTGAATGTGAAAGTCAAGCCAACAAGGTGAGAAATGAAAAACGGCGGGGTTTCACCCAGACAAACAGTCTAAAATAATCTCATTGGGATCCATTAATTCTGGAACGGAGGCCTTCAATATAATTTGGGCCACAAACTAGTTTGTCTGTCTCTCTCTGTCTTTCTCTCGCCATAGTATTTCCTTCACTTAGAAATTCTTATCCGATTTGTCAAATTTTAATCTTTCATCATCTATGCATACTCTTTCTGTATTAATAATAAAAGTTAACTTTTTAATCATCCCCCAGTCACACTGAGTGCATCTCATCTGAATCGTCTCTATGCATAAAAAAACAAGGTCAATTTGTATAAACGGTTTTTCAATCTTCCATTTTCCTCCCAATTGATCCCCAAATTGTTCAGGACAGCTATTCCCTGCTACCAATATCAGATCTATGAGTAGGCCTCGTCTCTGATTATTCGGACCCATCAATTGCTTTTCATTCAGCAAAGTTAATTTTTAATAATATTCATTTGCAGAAGAGATTTTAAGAGTGTTTAGCTATTTGTAGTTTCCTCTTGATAATCAGGAATTCTAAAGTTGAATTAGAAAAAAGTCTCCATTCACTGTTTCCTGTCATCATAGATTTTAGCCGTTCAAGGACAACTCAAACTCTGAATGAACATAGTGAGCCTGACACTGGGTAAAACCCTCCAGACCCTCCTAGGATGAATGAGCCACAAGTTCTACATGCAACAGAGTCAACGTAAGGGTCTAAAACAATCAGTACCCCGGGCGTCTTATGTCCATGGCAGAAAGACTGTGCTGCCTGGGGTCCACATCTTCATGAAAGGAGAAGAGCCTTCGTTGGGCCTACTCTGCTCTCGGTACAGGTGCTAGGCTGGAAAGACCAGCACCTGGTTTTGAGAGCCTCCGGTGAGCATAAGGGCGCTGCTCAATCAATGACGGCGGGCACTTACCATACACCGCAATGGTCTTGGTGTCCTGCAGGATGGCATTCCCAGCGGATACCTGCACTGTGATGGTGTTCATCCCTTCAGAAAGAAACTTAACTGATATGCTTCCTTCCAAGGTGATCAAGGGCTAGAACAAACAGGGCGCAGGGAGAAGTTAAAGTTGTTTTGGGACTGGTGAGACAGCTCCAACCCTGACCCACCAGCAAGCAATTGAACTCATCGGGAACTCTTCCTGGGTACCACAGCGGAACTGACTCCATCCATGCCTCCCCTGGGAAGTCATTGGAGCAGTACGCTCAAGGGAATCTGCCTCTTCTCTGTGAATTGAATGCTCTTTGCCAAGAGCATCCTGATTCTGTGCTCGGGAGATGGGATATATGGCTAGATTTCCCTGGCTGTGGGAGAACGTGTCTGTCTGTACAGCTGTCTTGTACCTACCACACAGATCTATGAATGCAAAGACATTGTAAGATCAAACCAGAATAGGGAGTTCATTTTAGTCCCCAAGAAGTCGTTGTCACTGAAAATCTATAAACTGCCATTGTTCACTTCTGGAATGTACTGTGGATATAAACAGTATGAGAATGGAACACAGCTACATGGTTAGACCGTGGTGACCTTGCATTCCTTAGTTTCCTCTGCAAAGCTCTATCAGCAGTTTCCTGGAAGTAGCTGCTAGGGAAACAAGTATTAATTGGATAGTGGTTTAGGGACTCGGGGGTGGAAAAAAAAAAAAGGAGTTGGAGTGGTGCCTATGCTACAAACGGACGCCCGAGTCCGGGAGGAAAAGGTGATTAGCCTCCTGCCCTCCCTTGACTCGCTCCAGACAAGCTTTTCTTTCCCATCTTCTCTTAATTAATTGTAAAATCAAAATTCATTTAACTCCCTGTATGATTGCAGTAGAAGTTTACTCAATTGAGTCAGCTGAGAATCTGGTTTTCTTTTCAAAGAAAAAATGCAATAAAAGGAAGATACAGAAAAAAGTTGTTTAGTATTTTCACCTTCCAGCCTGTGCTAGCAGGTTAATCACATAGATTCTGTCTTTTTCAGCTGTGGGCAATGGGCCCAACTGAAGCCATAAAGTGGGCATGCCTACTTTAAGAAGGAATGGAAATGGGCAGGGGAGGAGGGGAGCAGGCTTCTTTTAAGTTTAGTCACATTAGCAGTAGAGATGAATAAGTCCTTCCACAATCAGGCTGGGAACAAATCGAGATTCCATGGATGTGGGTCTTGGCAAAGTTATGATTCCAGCAAGAGTCAAAATTCAGCTCTGGGGTAGAGAAGATTTATTAATATAAGATGTGTGGCCTTGAAAAAAGCAAAGCCATCAAGTGAAAGAAGCAACTTTGCTTGAAGAGAATCAGACTTCCCAGTCTGATCCCGAGCAACTCATTCGTGTGCCCTTTGGGAAAGGACACTTTGGGGCCTAGGAACCATTGCCTAACGTACGAGTGCAAGCATTTTGATTTCTGAGAAGGGGGTGTGTTCTGACCAAACAGAGACGACAGCCTGGTGTGGTGGAAAGAGCCATCAGTGGAGGCATCAGAAGGCCTTGGCCTTGGCCTCAGTGTGAGTCGGCTGGTGGAGCTTGGAGTGAACTACTTCACCACCCTTATCTCCTTATTCTCATTTGCATAATGCAGACATCATAGAGAAGGTTAACATTTTCTACCAGTTTTATCATGCCTGCTGTCTATTAATGAATTTCTGTGGGTGGGTTTCCATTGGGGACCTGTTTCTTTTGCCTGACAAGCATCCATCCAGCTCTTCCTTTGGTAACCCCTTCTCACTTACTCCTTGTCCGTGTGGCTGTCAGGAAGACTACTTCTATACCCCCTCTGCCGGACCACTAGTACATAATTCTTTTAGAATTTTTCAGAGAGGGGGTTCTTCTTTTCCCCTGAGCTTTGAAGGTTAGGTTGCTAAGGCTCACAGCCAAAAAGTCTGCACTTGAAGAAAGCCAATGTAGACAGAGGATGGTAGAAGTCAGGTGGAGGTGGAGGCGGAGGCAGAGAGTGAGAGGAAGAGAGATTGGTTGATTGCACAGACTGATGAAATAATGTGAGTACTGAGTTCTTGCTGTCCCTGACGTTAGAATTAGCCCTAAACTCCAGAGGCATGTGAGCCAACTCATTCTTGTTTCTGCTGCAGCAGATTTGAGTTGAGCTTTGGTTACTAGACCACACCCAGAAAGGTGACCCACCTCCGTATTGTTTCCTTTCCACCACACATAAGTGAGGGTGCCCACTTGGCTGGGCCACAGCACTGCAGTTGCGTTGACCTCTTTGTTCTTTGTGGTGACGAAGGGAAGAGACAGGTGCACGTGTTCCAAGGGACCTGAGGCACAAGAGAAATGGGGACCATAGGAAAGGAAGAGCTTTTTTGATTCACTTCTCTGTTCTGAAGGAAACAACATATTCACCCTTGAAGCCTCCAAGGCTTGTATCACCTGTTCCGTGTTTCCCCTGTTTAGAAGGAAAGACTATATTGTGAACAATTGTATCTCAGCATTTTCTATCTACTGATCTTTCTACCTGTCAAAAAACTTGAGTTACTCGTGTTTAACATTTAGAAGTAATTGATGAAGCCCTTGATTGGACAGGCATAATCTTAGAATTCACAGGTGGTAAACCAGGATGGTGAAAAGCCCAGAGAATCCATGTTCAAAGAGAAAATAAATCAGTTGACTCTATAGATGGTTATTCTTGACTACCTTGTGTGTGTGTGTGTGTGAGTGTGTGTGTGTGTATGTGTAAATGTGTGTGAGAGTGAGTGCAAGTTGTTTTCTTGTGTGAGTGTGTAGAAAGCCATTCAACGGAGTAAGCAAGAAATAAACTCTGATATTGGGTGAAGCTTATCCTGGACGAAGGTGTACAAGAATGGGAAGAGCGAGCTGCAGCTCAGCTTCCACCCTTGAGGGCTCACATTAACCACAAATCTTAACCAAAGGTCTAAACTGCACAAGGATATAAATGCTCCCTTTTGAGTGAGCAGCGAGCCCGATGGTGGAGTGGGTTACCCATTGGGCAGTGAGCTCGATGGTGGAGTGGGTTACCCATTGGGCTGATCCCTACAAGGTGGGCGATCAGAAACCATCGGGAGAAAGACGAGGCTCGCGACTCTGGCAAAGATCTATAGCTCCGACCCCTCAGGGGCACTTCTACTCTGTCCTATGGAGTCACTCTTGGTGCTGAGAATGTTTTTGTTGTTTTGTTTTTTTTCTGCTGTGAGTCATAAGGGCGTTCACTACAACAACATATCCGCTCTTTGGGTCCCTCTCTCCTCGAAAACTGTGGCTGCATTTGAGGTGGACATGATACAAGTCTGACATCAGCAGCATTTCCCAGAGGTTGGTAGAGTCCCGTATCTCTGGCCTCCCTTCCTGGAATTAATACTACTCTTCTTCTGCTTACCCTTGAATGTGTTTAGCAGGGGCCTATCCTTGCCTCTTTCTCCCGATCGCTAACATCTTCTTGGGGGCAGTATCTCCTGCACTCTGAGTATCAAAGAGGAGATGATGTCAAGGGCTTCAAAGTCACCCTTGGGGCTCCAGACCCAATCCTCCTGATGGTACACACTACCCACGCTCATCCGGGGCTGGTTCTAGAAGTGGTAAATCAGGCAGAGTTTTTGCTTGCTGCCACCCACACGAACTCCCCGAAGCCCTTCATCTCTCTTCATGAGAGCTCCTTTTTACCCTCCCCCATTCAGCGTCCAGGCTCCTTCTCGAAGAACTCCTCTTTCTCCGTCCATTACAACTCCTGTGCTGATTTTCCTTCCTCTCGCCTCTCTCATGCATCCTCCAAACCATTATGAAAGGGACTGGCCTGTCAAGAAAGCCAAGGTCATCGTGGCATCCACTGTTTCAAAATGAAGATCCTCAGGGATTCATTAGGAGAGTGATAGCCACCACAGACTCATGTAACATTTCTGGAACATGGGTCAGAGGCCTCCAATTCTTTCTGGTAAGAATGCTGCCCATTTACCTCTTTATCCAAAGGCGGGCTTTCCCACTCCCATAAAGAGGGAAGAGTGTCAGAAACCCACAGGACGGGTGGTCCTACCCTGGCCCGAGGGTCACTATGAGTCAGCATCGGCTCAAAGGCAGTGAGGGTGCGACACACACGCTGTCGCGTTTCAGGCACACCGCTGACATGTAAGGGTGAATTGGGTAGATGCAGAAATGCTGCATTTCCCTGCTCCTGCCATCTCTAGCGAATAAGAGGCCTGGTGATGAGCGTGAGGATAGCACAGCATCTCTGGCTCATAAACCATACGCGAGAAGGTCCTTATTTGTAAGTCAGCGCACAGTTTGACACAATACTAATGGCCACCAGGATCGCTTTTACAGAGTGATAATTAGATGGTACATATACTGCGAGGACTCTTTGGTGTATTTTGTCTCCTTTGATCCTCTCCACAACCTTATGAAGTAGGCGCTACCAGTCCTACTTAAGAGATTTTAAAAAGAGAAAGATAAAAGAACAGGTGCTGGCTTAGGCCTCACAGATGAGAAACATCCATTCCAGGTGCGGAGCCCCAGTGGCGGGAGTGCGGAGCCCACGTGCTCGCCAGTAGGCAAATGCACAAGACCTTGTCAGTCTTGTTTTAGCGAGAGGTCCCTCGTGAGGCAACACTCACTGATCAGCAGTTTCTGGGCACTGAGGAAGCATCCGGAATAAGCTCTACTTTATTGCCTGGCTCTCTTCTGTGCCAGGAGGCCATGCCCTGGCCACCACGGGGCCTTTGCTTCCATCCTTTTCTCATGCCCCTGTCAATCTTCAATCTCAGTCCCAGCGACCCTCCAAAATGCTCTTCCTCACTCCCAGGCCTGAGTCGCTAAAGTGAATCACGTGGAATGCAGGAACTGGGGGAGCTCAGTAAAATTGCTCTTTTGAAACCAAGGGGGTTGGTTTTCTTCTGTCTCTCTCTCACACACAGGGCAACTGCAACATTTAAAAAACCCAGTCCACTAAAGCCAGGAAAATGACTAGGTGCTTGATAAATTCGAAACCAGAATAATGTTAACGACACCTGGCCATTCATTCATTTAGTGCCTCTTCAGTGCTACCATCTGGCAGTCATCGTTTTCGGTGCTCAGGATACCTGGGGCTTGGTGGAGCCTAATTATTTGGGGGAGGGGGGGAGGTGAGAGAGAATGGTGCCTAAGAAAGCCTCTTTGGGAAAACAGCATTTGGCCGAATGGGGTGAAGTCATGTGCCAAGGATGCCCTTGGGGTTCTGGGTGAGGGGACAAGAAGGGTATGTGTTTACCACATGTGAGACACACCAAGCCAGTCAAATGGCTACAAGAGAGAGAAGGAGGGGTGGTTAGAAGCTAACACAATCTTAGAGGTCGTCACCACTGCAGGTCAGCCTTACAGGCTCTGGAGGATGTACATGAGTGTGGGCGTGGCTTCATTCTTGTATATATTTATAAATATAAATATAAACTCCACTGCCACGGGCTCCATTCTGACTCACAGTGAGCCCACGTGTTTCTCAATGGCAGTACTCGCATGGTAGTAGGTATCCAATAAATGACCTCTACGGAGGGGATCCAAGTCACCACCCTTTCCATTGAGAGCCTCATGCCAAGCACTGCAGCGCCAGGGGCCGAGCATTGGCAGGAGGCATCCGCACAGTGGGCGTGTGGGATTGGCTTCGGGGAGTTCCACAGATCCTTGCTTTCCATTAATTCTGAGACATTTGATACAGCTGATTCCTGCTTCCCACAGTCTTTCTTTGACACTTTTCTACCGTGTACAGAGGGTGCAGTTGGCCCTAACAGAGCTGACGGGCTGCACTGAGAAAGCCAATCATGCTGTGCCTCACAGCACCATCATACAGGTGTCTGCGACACACAAAAGGAGCAGTAGATGGCGCTGAATCACTTCATATGAATCTTTCTGGGCCTTGGAGAGACTGGGAATTGTGCAAATTGGGTTTCCCTCTCCTGCCTTGTTTTGTTCTTCCTATATCTGTCTGTCTGTCTGCCTCTCTCTCTCTCTCTCTGTCTTTCTCTCTCTCTCTCTAACTCCTCTCCTCTCTAGCATTTACAACCTAGATTCTTCCTCTGACTTCTTAGGTATCATATAACTGTTGGTCTAAATATTTAATACAAATGAAAAAATATGTAAGTCCAGTAGAAGAAATACAATGCACAAATCAAAGTGTATCAGAGATTAGAACCAAGAACAGGCATCCTCCATAATTAATCTGTTAAAAGCAGACCCTGGACCCCCATGCAGACATTCTGTCTCTGTGGGTCTGGACTGGGGTGGCCTGGGCACTGTCCGTTCATCATGGCAAAGCATATGAGGCAGGTGGGTAACTAGAACAAATGGATGGACCGGTACTGCCCAACATCATGATGCGGGAGTCACTGCAGAGCACGCATGGATGCTTAGGGTCCACTGTGTCCCCTGAGAAGAGGACTCAGGAAGGGCTGGCATTCCCACCTCACCCTTTTCCCCACTTCCCATTCTGCAAGGATGCACAACCTTCAGGGGTATTTTATTTTTTCCTGCAGGATCGAAGGAGGCAGGGCAGCTTTGGGCACAGAAATCTGCATGCTTCCCCACTCCTCCCCGTCCAGCTGAAGGCAGCACTGGTTGCACGCAGGGTCTCATTAGTTTGCAAAGTAGCAGCGCCCTGTGTGCATGCTTTCCCCAAGGGAGTTCTGCCTGTCAGACTACAACAGATGACCCAGCAGCGTGGCCAACCCTTCCTGGAGAGCTTGCAGCTCAAACACTGTCTCCACTTCTGGCTGATGACCTTTGCAAACCCGTATTAAAAAACCTGATTTGGAATCAAATCACCTTGCTGCATGGGAGAGAGGAGGGAGTGGGTGTAAGTCAGGCTGAAGGCTTTTGGAGAGCTCAGGGAAGGTGCACAGCTGTGGGGAGGGCGGGCAGGAGGGAGGTACAGAGGACAGCCTTGGTCAGCTGCACTTG